GGGAAAAATCTCAGCCAATCAGAAAGCACAAAGATGAACCAATCAGAATGCAGCAATGGGGTGCACATGACTAGCACTGGCTCCTCCCTATTGCCATGGGGACAGGCAGGGCTTCCCCCACAGCACCCCCATGGCTTAGCCCTGCCTGCCCCCTCCCACCCCTGCTCCTTCTGTCTGTCTGTCCTGCACCTTGTCCCACCCCTGCAGCAGCTGCCCCAGAGCTCTTCTTCCTTGCTTGTGAAGGCCACACAGAGCTGCAGGGACCCAGGTGCCATCATGCAGCACAGGCACCAAGCATGAGGCTGACCAGCCATGTGACCCTATGGGCTGTCACCCCACCCACCACTTGCAAAGTCGATCAATAACAGAGAGGTGATGGCAGATATCAGCCAATTACCATCTGCTGTTGGTGCACATGACTGGCAAGTACTCCCTCCCCTGTCCATCCAATGCACAGGGACGTCGCCTGGAAAGGCTCTGCCCCACGATGTCGGTTTAGCCAATCGCAGCTTGGAATGGTCCTGCTCCTGCTCCTGCCCCTAGGGTGGGATCCAGCCTGGAGTGGGTGGGGCCAGCCACGGACACGCCACCCCCTAGAATATGGTGTAAACATTCTCTTGGATAAATCTGGTATCTGAGAACTGAGTTTCTGATGATGCAGTAATATTGATTCTAAGTCTAACCAATTCATAATTTAGTAGTGCTGTTTTCTGTAAATCGGAGTCTGAATCGAATCCAGGGGTCAGGGTCTGAATATTCCAACATGCAAGTCTCTTTATTTCATCTGGTCAAGGATAGATTGGGTTGGGGCATGGCTGTTTTGGCCCACCTTTTCTAGGGCCTTCCTCAAGAGAGGCAAGCAGGTCACACCTGAATGGAGGTTGCAACATTGTGGTATTTTATAGGAGCTACCCCACCATGAGTAGCCCCATCACTTTTGCTACCAGGCCCTCCAGTCAGATGCAGTTGATGGTCATTTACTACCCACCATCCAGGCCAGATTAGAACCACTGTGCTATTAGTGCCACCCCTTCCAGGGAGCTGAGAGGGGCTGGAATGTGCCTCATGGTCAGATCATTCATTTCTTGCTGATACTTTTGTCCCAACTTGTACCAGGTCATTGAGTTGTGAAATGACCTCGGGGAATTTTGGGACAAATGCATGCTTCTTCCTCTGTTTTCTTGTCCTGATATACTGCCTAGGGCAGCAGGAGTCTCTTCAGTTCCCGTAAGATGTGGTGCACTTCCTTCAATCCACACACAATTTTTTTACTTTACGCATTGTGCCATTGGCTCTACTGAAGAGAAAAATATGCAAGTTTGAGAAATGTAAGCTATACAAATACCACAAGGTGGAGAGTCACCCCTTGGCTTAATAGCTGCAATCAAGGGGCAAATATAAAAGTAGCTATGTGCCATTGTGGCACCCATACCATAGGTTGGCCAACCCTGTTCCAATCCAACTCCATCGCCACATCCCTGTGCCCTTCCCTTTCCATTATTTGAGACCCCTGCTGCTGTTTCTCTATTGCCTGGCCCTTCCCACCTCTGTCTCATACCTCTGCTCTTCTCCATCCATAGGCTCCTTGCCTTGCTCTTCCACATCCATTGGCTCCTCACCTTGCTCCTCAAAATCCCTCAGCTCAAAACCTTATTCCTTGAAGTCCATATGCTCAAAGCCTTGCCCCTTCACATCGATGGCTTCCAAGCCTTGCCTCAAAGGCTTGCCCCTCCATATCCACATCAATTAACTCATATGTGGAGGTTGCAACATTGTGATATTTTATAGGATCTACTCCACTATGAGTAACCCCATCGCTTTTGCTATCAGGCCCTCCAGTCAGATGCAGTTGATGGTAATTTTCTACCCACCATCCAGGCCAGACTAATACCCCTGTGCTATAGGTGCCACCCCTTCCAGGGAGCTAAGTGGGCCTGGAATGTGCTTCATGGTCAGGAGATCACTCATTTGTTGCTGATACTTTTGTCCCAACTTGTACCTGGTCATTGAGTTGTGAAATGACATTTGAAAATTTTGGGACAAATGTATGGTCCCTTCTCTGTCTGTCTGCTTGTCCCTATGGCAGCAGGAGTCTCTTTGGTTCCTGTATGATGTGGTGCTCTTCCTTCAATCTAAATATAATTTTCTACTTTATACTTTGCACCTTTGGCTTTAATGAAGAGAAAAATATACAAGTTGGAGAAATATAGGTCAAACAAATACCAGAAGGCAGAGAGTCACTGCAATAGCTGCAAGCAAGGGGCACTTATAAATGTATGCATGTGCCACTTGTGGCACCCATGCTGCAGGTTGGCCAACCCTGTTCTAATCTATCGCCATTGCCACATCCCTGTGCTTCTCCCTCTCCATCGCTTCATAACCCTGCTACTGCTTCTCTGTTGCCTTGTCCTGGTGGTCATCCCCACCACTGCCTCATACCTTTCCTCTTCCACATGCATTGGCTCCTCACCTTCCTCTTCCATGTCCATTGGCTCCTTGCCTTGCTCTTCCACGTCCATTGGCTCATACGTGATTATTTTGATACAAGCAAATAGAAAACTCCAGCCATATCCCACTTTGTACGCTGGGTCACTCCATTCATGCACTCATAATTCTGGGGACTAATCAGGAGATGCATTAAGCAAAAGCACAGGCTTTTCCCTAGGTGACCCTGACTTCTAGGGATTTGTAGGTTAGGAGGTCAGAAAGGGCCTGAGGATGAAAGGTAAAGTTTAAGCCAATGCATTTAGCAACAAGGTACAAGTTTTAAACTTGAGGGTGATTGACCATTGGAAGCAGCAAACGAGGGCAGTGATGGATTCTTCATCACTTAGTATCCCTACCGAAACTGATACTTTTCTGGAAGAATGGTGTATTGCAAGCACCAAGTAACTGAACCCATGGCAAGAGCAATAGGTGGAATAGTAATCCCCATGGGAGGTCAGACTGGATGATCTCACGGCCCCCACAGGCCGTAAACTTGGTAAGTCTGTTTTCTAAGTCCTGTGATTTCTAGGTGCTCCTTTGTCAAAGAAGATTCCTTCCAGATCATGTGCCTGGTCCTTGCTTCTCACTAACTGACTTACTCTCTCACTCACTCACTTCACTGAGTCCATCCCCAAGTCACAGGAAAGAGTCTAAAAGCCCCCAACTCATCCTGCCTTAATCATGCAAAGTCAGAGAAAAACAGGGGACCATCTCTCCTAGAGGAACATGCCATGGTACTTTGGCTCTGCAGTCATCATGCACAGTAGAAATGCGGACTGATAAGGACTGCAGTTGGGGCTTGGTGCCTCATGCCTTAGCAACAGTCAGGGCCTGGCACTTTCCGGTCTCAGAGAGTGCCCAGATCTGGCACTACAAGCCCCAGCAACAGACTGGGCCTGGCACCTCAGGCCTTTGCAATGGTCTGAGCATGGTGCCTTGGTCCTTAGCAACTGTTGGTGCCTGACAGCTTCAGGCCTTAGTAAAAGTTGGGGCCTGGAGCCCTTGGCCCTTTGCAGTGGTTGGTGCCTCACACCTCAGATCCTAGCAATAGTCTGGACCTGGCCACTTCTTCTTTAGCAATAATTTGGGGCTGGAGCCTTAGCAATGGTATGGCCTGGTACCTCGGGCTTTGGCAGTGGTCAGGCCTGAAGTTCTCTCCCTTTAACTATGGTTGGGACCCATCACCTCAGACCTTAACAATGATTTTGTCCTGACCCCTCAATTCTTAGTGATGGTCTGGGCCTGGCATCTGAGACCCAGCACCAGTCTGTGCCTGGCACTCTTGGGCCTTTGCAGTGGCTTGGGGCTGGCATTTGATCCTTGGTACAGCCTGGATCTAGCACCTCAGGCCTTAGTATTGATCTAAGCCTGATGCTTCAGCCATTAATGACAGTCTGAGCCTTGCACCTTGGGCCTTAGTGATGATCTGGGCTTAGTGCCTCAGGTCTTAGCGACTGTCTGGGGCTTGACAATGGTCTCTTAGGCTTTGACAGTGGTTTGGGCATGGTCCCTTAGTCCTCAGTGATAGTTTTGGCCTGGCATCATGGCTGTTAGTGATAGTCAGGACCTAAAATGCTCAGTTGAGGCCTGGGACCATCAGACCTTTGCAAGGGATGGGGCCTGGCACCTCAGGTCTTAGCAACTGTCCAGGCCTGGTGCCTTGGGGCCTCAGGAATTTTCTAATCTTGGTGTCTGGGGCCTTAGTGACAGTCCTGGCCTGGTGCCTCAGGCCTTAGCCAGAGTCTGGGGCCCATCTCTCAGGCCTTAATGACTGTCTCAGCCTCCCACTTTAGCCCTTAGTGATAGTTTGTGCCTGGCATTCTCAGACCTTAGTGATGGTCTGGACCTGGCACTTGAAGCTACAGCTGCAGTTGGGGCCTGGCAGCTCAGGCCTTTGCAATTTTCTGGGGCCAAAGTTCTTAGCTCTTACCAACAGTTTGGGCCTGGCACCTCAGGCATCAGCAATTGTTAGGGCCCAGGCCCACAAGCCTTGGCAACAGCAAGGGCCTGGTGTACTCGGCCTTTAATACCTATTGAGGTCTAGCCCCTTGGGCCTTAGTGATGATCTGGGCCTCGCACATCAGACCTTTTCTATGGCTTGCACCTGGAGCCATAAGCCCTTAGTAACCACGGGGGGCTGGTATTTCAGGCCATAGCAGCCTGAAATCTGTGGTGGGGTTTATGGAGTTAGGGTATAACAGTTAGAGCCATTTCTGGGATGGGACTCAGGGGCTAGGTGTACAGGGCCCCTTGCCCAGCTAGGTTCTGCTAAGGGCCTGGGTGGGGGGGCCCTTGGGTCTTGGGGAGTTGGGGGGAATTACCTTCTTCCCCCAAGCTCCAGTTGCACAGGAAGTGGCT